TTTAATTTATATACATGTATGCCATTGTAAACCAAATTTTTACCTCGGGGACCAATAAAAAATGGAGTGTTATTTTTTTTTATCACGAAGGACTATCATTTTATTTTGAATACCATGTTGTCGACCAGCTGTGTTGAGGCATTAAGCCCAAAATTTTGATTAAAAAACCCAATAAATTGCAATTTCCAAATCTGTGGTAGGCCTATCGGTTGCATGTACTCAAGTATAGGCCTTTAGTTTTGACGCTGTTAACGGAATTAACTTAACCTCTCTCTCTCTCTCTCTCTCTCTCTCTCTCTCTCTCTCTCTCTCTCTCTCTCTCTCTCTCTCTCTCTTACTCCTGAAAAAAACTTGCTCTCTGGGCTTAACCAAAGACGTCATTGGAGCTCAGTACATTTGAACAGCTTGCCGGCGATAATGTGCACAGTGAACGAAGGTCAGACAAATTGGGAGAGGCAGACAAGATCAGATAGGCCTAAGCTTGTGCATGGTTGGACACCAGCTACGACAAACGGCAGCGTGATGAGGCGGACAGAGACACTTGGGATACAATAATATAAAACAGACCACACCACCGTGTGTTTCTGTTAACTCTGCAAACTATTAATGCCATAATTCAAATTCCTTCTTCGAAAGGAAAGAAACGCATGTGTTGTTTTAAATTGTCATGAAGACGTTTTCCTCCTCTCTTTATTGGAATTTTATTTTTTGGGTTTTTGTCGTGACTTGTTTATACTTTTGGTGCTTTTTTGGGAAGAGGTTGGGGGGGCAGTTTTTGTTTTGGCCCCCATCGACACAATATGATATATTATAGATAAGGTCAGTTTCAGCAACCTTGCCTCCACATCCAACCTTTGTTGAATGAGATACGACATCCTCGCATATGTCATCATCGTCATTGCCTTTCTCACCCTGGGTCAGGATATAGGCCACGAACAAACACTCTCCACCTTTCCCTTACTTGGAACTTCATTCTTTTTGTTCCTGTTCTGGTTCCGTGCTTTTTAAGATGAAGCTTGAGTTTTGCTAACAGCAGATGATGATCCGATCCAACGTCTGCCCCTCTTTGTACTTTGACATCTTCCACTGAACGCCTGAACCTACGAGAGATACAAAAATGATCGATCTGGTTCTCTGTCACTCCATCCGGTGGTACCCAAGTAGCCTTGTGGATCCTCTTATGGGAAAAAACGGAGCCTCCGATGACAAGACTGTTGAAAGCACAAGATTTGCAAATCGCTCACCGTTCTCATTCATTTGTCCCAGGCAATGTTGTTCCATGATTCCCTCAAAACCTACGTGGTCCTGACCAATCTTGGCATTAGCATCTCCCATTATGATGTTGACATCTTTCCTTGGCAGTTTGTCGATTATCCCCTGGAG